GGGTTTGCTGTCATGTAATGAGGTGGTAGTGGTATGTTAAACTTGTATTGCTTTTGTATTTCAGCGATGAATTCTTTCGCGGAATGTGTGTTAGTAATTGGAAAGGTGTACGATTTTTCTGTTTTCACTTCTGATGGATTATGTGGTAGGCTTTTTTTTTGTACGAAGTAGTCATTAGAGATATGACGGAAGCTATAGTGTTCTCTTAAGATATTAAGGTATCTTCGAAATTCAGTTTTGTCTGTTGGGTCATAGGGAAATAAGTGTCAGACTGCTGAGCAGAGATTTTGTGGTGTTGATGGGAGGCGAGGTTTGGGTTCAGGGAGTTGGAAGTAATTGGATGGAATTTGCTCTAAGATGTAGTATTTCATCAATTTTTTTTGATAATCGGATAAGTAGAGTAGGCGTGACCTTTCGGTAATAGGGAATAGGTCTTTAATTTCTGGGTGTAGTTTCGATGGATCATCAGGTAAGGGTTCCAGTATTGTTGCGAAGTATGTTTTGGGTAGTTTTTCAAATGAAAAGATTTTTCAGAGTGCTAGGACTGTGGCTCGGGTGAGATTTTGGTCTTGTATAGGGAGGGGAAATGGCAGAATGTTTTGGATTGCAGGGTCTATTTGGGCTGGGGTTAGTGGCAGTGGCATTAGTAGTTGGGTATGGGCTTGATTAATCAGTTTGGTAAGTCTTCAAATTCGATAATGTTTTGAATTTTTGCGAAATTTTGGCAGTAGCAGATGACTCGAGCACAGTCATGAGGACTGGTAGTAAGAAAGTCGAGATTACAGATAATGTCTAGTGCGAGTTTTGTTTTCAGTTTGTTAAAGATCTGGTCTCGGTTGTGTTTGTTGATGAATCGTGCCTTGTGGATCTTTTTGTATTTTTCTATAGCTATTTCGAGTAGAGAGTTAAACTCTTTTTGGTGTAGTAGCTATGTAGTTTTATCTTTAGTGAAGGAACGAAAGAAAGCTGTATCTAGGTAAGAGAATTTTTCTTGAATTGCATATGGGAGGTTGTATTTGGTTGGGTTGGTTTGTGCTTTGTGTAGGAGGAAATTAGCAAGAAGCTATTTCAAGGAAAATGCCTTGAGTATACGGTCATTATTTCATATGCTGGTGTCAAAGTCGAGGGTACGTGTTTTGGCTAATGCCAGAGAGACTGAATTAACCTAGGTACCCAATTTGTTGTTTTGGGGTGAGTGTTTGGGTAAGTTGGAGGTAAGTGCATTGCTGTAGGATTTCTTGGCTGTGAGGGATTTGACTGTGGCATTTGATTGTGTATTCATGTTCTCAGGGTTGAGGTCTGCTGAGTTGTTTTGAAGTTCGTCTGGGATACGTTCTGGGGTCAGAGAGGCTATTGGGTTGCTAGGGGGGCTCGGCCGGAAGTCGGTTGTGTTTTGATTATCGATCATCATGGGTACTAACTGGGGTGTGGGAATTATCTGTATTTGGTTGTTGTTAATTTCATTAATCAGTGCTGGTTCAGATCGGAGTGTGGGAATTGGTTGTATTTGGTCATTGTTGTTGTTGTTTTGGTTAGGTGATGTCATAGGGGTAAGTAATTGTTGGGGTAAACTGGGGAGCCCACTTTATTAGAATTTTGTGAATCAAGAGGTGGGGGAGTAGTAGTGGAGTTGAACCGAGTTGCATCTTGTACAATTTTCTTCCTTTTGTGAGGGGGTGGGTTGTTTGGAGTGTTTGGGTATACTGTGATGTTCTGGGCGTCTGTGGTTCTGGCAGGATCTATCAGTGCCGTGCTTATTATTAAGAGGATGAGGAAGGGTTCGAAGGATTCTGGAGTAGCAAGAAGTGTGTCTCTGTCTCTTTTCAATGTGGTGGGTATTCCTGGGCACTTGGTAATATTTATTTGCCTTCTAGCAGTAGTTTAGTTATATTTTTCTTTATAATTAGTTCATGGGCAGTTTTAAAATTTTGTTTGTTTTGTTTTCCTTATGATTTATCGATTTTGTTTTAAAAATGTTTTTAAAATTAAGTATAATAATTTTAATTTATATATGTAAAATTTTTAAAGATCTGTAAAATTTTGGTATTAAAAAAACACTCAAAATAATATTTATATTTACTATTTTAAGAATTTATAATATATAAAAATTATTTTAACTTTACTTATTAGATAGATACTAGTTAATAATACTAAATGTTTATAAGTTTTGTTTAAAGTTAGCTGACAATTATTGCAAAACTAATTAATAATTTTAATTTTATTGCTTTAACAAGTTTTTGTTTTAATTAATTTTGTATTTTAAAATTTTAGCAAAAGTTAATTATAAAATTTTTATTAAAAGTATATTTTTTGTAATATATATATATATAATTTTTTCTTGTATTATGAAAAATTATAAAAAATAATTAATATATTCTTTATCTTTAAAGTAAATAACAATTATTATTTATAAAATAAACTTTTTTTTTTTTTTTTTTTTTTTTTTTTTTTAATATTAAAGGTGACCACTTAGGCTATTGGCATGAGCTTTATTCAGATAGTTATGATATTACATCCATTTCACACGGATACAATTAGCATACGAATACCTTTTAAGTATCTAATTTAAATAGTTCACCTAGGTTCTACACTAGCTATCATACCTGCAATCTAACTAGAAGATTATCTATTTAAGCTTTCTGGTTATTACTAATGAGAGTACAACTAGCTATATATGCAACTTTTGGTTGTCTATTTAAGTAGTCTGCTCTAGATTCTACACTAGCTACCGTACCTATAACCCAACTAGGAGGTTACTCATTTAAATCCTCTGGCTTTCACCTTTGTAACACACCCTACCCTAACACCTATTCAGGATTAGCCATTGCCATAAATGACCCTAAGACTTTAGCCAAACCATATTGGGGCATTTATTCTTGTAGTAAACCTAACATAGCAGTACATGTTCTACACATGTGCTTACCTGTATGTTCAGTAACTTTTTCTAACTAGTACATGTTGTGCTGCCTCTACTGGGTTCATATCTCAAGCTATCCTTTTGGATACTGCTATAACCTGATCTTTATCTCAAGCCACAACCTTCCTAATTAGTTCTCACTTACGTACTCCTGCTCTTGCAAGGTTCACAATAGTCCTAGTACCCACATTCTAACTATCTTCTTTCTCAGATTTTTTACCGGTCCCTCCCTTACTTCTAGCTAGCAACCTAGAAGGGTTGGTCTGTCTAGGCTCTAGGTCCCTTATGGTCTCCCTTCTCATAGTACATGCTTTCAGAGCACAAGTCCTTTTTTTCTGGTGGCAGGCTGGTGGTTCGGCTGGTGTGTCCCTCTACTTAAAGACCTGGTTGCTCGGTTCTCTGATCTCGGTCTCCAGTTTCAAATTTAGTTTTTCTGTAGCACCGTCAAAGATTGCTGTTACTTCTCAACTCAGGACTTGCCAAACGGGTTTTCAGTTATTTTGGTTCCTTGGATTTATCACGCCAAAGCTTCTATTCAAGATAGAATGACCAAGGTTACAGATTAGAATCCAACTGATAGTAATAGCCTTTAACTATATCACAGAGCTATTTTTTAAAAATATTATCTGTGGGATTCGAACTCTAGACCTGCTGTCTGGGGTGTGACAACTTCACCACTTCACTAAGTTGCCACACCCAAATAAACTTTTTTTTTTTTTTTTTGTTAAAGACTGATATCACGGTTGCTTAATGCTTTATTGTGTTTTTTGTATGTCTATATTGAGACATTTTTTGGTACATTAACGAGTGTACAACTAGCCACACATACAACTTTCGATTGCCTATTTAAGTAGTCCGCCCAAGGGTTCTACACTAGTTGTCATACCTGCAACCTTCTAGGAGATTGCCTATTTAAACTCTCTGATTTTCTATACCTACTTAGCAGTTAGCATTTAAGTTCCCATACAACAAGTGTCATCTAACTTGACATGTAGTCTTCCTTTCTGTGTTAGAAACCCAGGCCATACCCTTTATAAGGAGTACGTCACCCAGTAGCAAAGCTCGAGGTGCCTCTTTGTCAACAACCTACCCACTCTACGGTCCTATTAACAGGGCTATGCCCTTGCAAAGTTCACCCAAACCCTGGTACCCACTTCACAGCATATTCCCAGTACTTCGGTTCTTCTCCACTTTGGTTCCAGACTTCCAATCCAGATGGCCCGGAAGGACTGTGACCTGTCCTTGGTTCATTGGCACTGCCATAACCTTTTCCTCTAGTTAGCCCGGCGGCCTGGTTGGTAGACCGGCTTTACTACATACCGATCGTGCCCCGTCCGGTTCTTTCACTTCGGTTTTCTTTTTCTTGGGTCTAACCTTTATAGTAGTACCATCGAAGATCTGTGCTATCTCTTTACTCAGGTCTTCCCAAATGGGCTTCTGTCTTCTTAGCTCTACAGATTTACACGACCTAGAGACTTATCTAGTGTTTGCACCGCCTATTACCGGTTTGCATTCCTCTATATATGTAACCCAGAGTTGCATGGATGCCCCAGACCTGCCAGTTTTGCTGGTGCAACCATAGTTACAGGTATTCTATCCTAACTAATCGATGAAAGACGGTTGCTATAATACAAATAATTATTTGAATTTTCCGTCCTCAGTAGGTTTCAAACTCTTGACCTGCCACTTGGTGAGGATGATAACCTAACCACTACACTAGATCACCACACCTTCTCAACAAATATTTAATTATATAATATTAAATAAAAATTGTTTAAAATTTATTATATACCTTTTGTCTTTAAATTTT